CATGCACAGAGTGGTTTATTGAACCCAATCTAGTATTCACTTCCAGGAGTTCTTAGGAGCATGCCTGAGCACCATCCCTTCAGAGGGGCCTTGTAAAAGCAAACATATCTCCTACCCACACTCTGATCACTTAACTGGGCCACCTGCCTCTGCCGGCACCTTGCCATGGTGTCAAGAACTGGGGCTGCCTGGTCTGTGTCTGAGAAACTCCCATGTGCTGGGTCCCTTCCCACCTGTTGTTTGGCTCGAATATTCCCAGAAATTGCCTCCCCTCATGAGGAGTCTGGCCTTGAAATAAGGGCCTCTCCTCCTTTCATCTTAGTCATCTCAGCATGACCCATGCTCCCCATGTCCCCCACTCCAGCTGTTTCACTTTCCAGTTCTGATTCTGTTGAACTCCAGCCAGCAGTCCTTGAGAACAAGCACCCAAAGCAGCCATCCTTCCCATTCCTAACACTGCTGATGAATCAGGATTAGAAGCAGTACCTTTTTTTGTCATAGGACGCACCAGAACAGAGTTCTGGCACCTTTTTTCGACAGATTTTCCAAGTTTTAAAAGTAACTTTTGAAAATTTGATGTTTGGTCCACGTGGATTTGAATCACCCTGTTGAGCGTAGCAGGTCGGCGGTAAAATCATTAAAACAGTGCATGCGGGCTGCTTGTGTGTCGAATCCGATGCATGCGTACTTCGTCCACGCTGGTTGTGATGGCGCTGCTCGGCTTGTGGTGCTGCTTGGCTTGGGATTGATCGTGTGGCTACATGCCGAGTGCTTACTGCGGGTGGCAACCATTATGTTTTGTTACACAACTGACATGTGTGGATGTGTGTACAGTGATTGATTACATGTAAAAGGTAAATATCATGAGCTCTGGCACCTTTTTTCTTACAAAAAAAGCGCTGATTAGAAGGATGGGTGGAGCAGTGCCTGACACTTGAGTCCTGCAAGTGGAGGTAAGGGAAGGGTCAGAACATTTCCCTTTATTCTTTTTTAAATACTGAAGTAGTTGCAAAACTATGTGAATGAGGTAAAATACATGCATGCTAAAGGACCTCTTGAGAAGCATACTTTTTCTTTCCTTCTTCAAAGAAGGTGAAGGAGGAGGAGGAGGAGAAAACAGGAAAGTTATAAGAGGCATAGTATTTAGAAGATCTGAATCTAGTCTGAAATCCCACCAGTGAGAATGAACAAATAGGGAAGGGAAACAATTTGCCTTTTATAATAAGAAAGAAAGTGAGGTGTTTTCTCTGGCTGAGTTCAGCTGTGTCCACTGCTTTGTAGAGGCCCATCAGTGAAGGAGCAAGGAAACAAAAAATTACTGTCAGGTGACAATCAGCAACAGTGGGGCACCAGTGGCAGCATAAAAAGGCTGCGTGCTGCCACCCCATCTTAAAGAGAGAGAGAAAGCACAAAATGAAAAGATGCCATTGCAGTTCCACTCTTGACATACCATCAGGCAACCATTCCTGGTGGGTGGAGGCATAAATCTCTTTGACGAAGCCTTTGCACCCCTCTGTTTCTTCACTCTCGACATAGGCATCTGCCTGTCTGCCTGGAACCTCAGCTATCTGTCTGTCTAGGAGTTTTCAGGGGAGTGTCGCAATCACATCCGGATCACATCCAGCCTAAAGCTTTATTTAGGCTACACCATTTATAGCCAAAAGGTGGAAAAATACAGTGACCTCTAAGCAACGTCACGGAATTACGTCTGGTCCATAGCTTTAGTTAGCTGTAAGCAACTGTCAGGTGGCCAAATCATCCTCAACATGAAAATAATGAGCTAGAGCTATGCTTCCCACAAAACCTGTGGGCTGTTGTCAAGAGGCTCCCTCACCACTTCTTGCAATGAGATCAAATGACATGACAACCCATCATAGTTTCAGCAGTGCCCAAGGGAAGCCATAGATTGTCAGAATGGCTTGTTGCCCTCAGACAAGCCACCCAGCACAAAACAGTCCAGATTTGCAGAACATGACAACTCTTCATGGCTTGTCACCCATGACAGGTTGTTGCACTGTGCTAGCCCAGCTAATACTTAAAAAAGAATAAAGGGACACTCCCTTGTATGTACTATTATTGGCATGCGGGTGCTGTGAGTGACAGTGTTCTTTGCTGCAAGGAAGCACTGGGCCAGATGCAACTCAATGCCATGACACGGAAGGCTCTCTCCTAGATGCAGTGATGTACGATTTGGGGGTGGAACAAAGCTTACTCTGGGGAACATTGTCACATACACTTATTTCCACATTCATTTCTACATATTTTGCTTACTATTGTGGGCTCTATGACAAATAGTGTCCTGCACCTAAAGAAAGGTTTGGCAAACACAATTCAATGGCATCTCATAGACTGTGCTCACTTGGGGGTGGGCCATGCTTGAATGTCTTATGTCTAAAGAAAGCTTTAGGCTACCATAATTCCATGGAGTCTGGGAAGGTACATTCTCTCAAATCTGTGGGTTTGTTATTTGCATAACACAAGCTCAAATGTGTGCAGCACATCTAATTCCTTATTTTCTAGATGTTTGGACAGCTACTGGCATGGGTGCAGCCACTTGCTAGTTCCTTGCACCGAGATAGAGCTTGTTGGCATTTGATAGAGGGAAATCTCCTAGATATGTGACTTTATCCATTTGGATGGTTCAAACCTTGATTTGAGGTACACCCATCTAGTGCCTTATTGTTTGCTGTGTATTCTGGCTCTTGTTGGTTGGGCTGGGGCATAGTTTGTCCAAAGTTATACGTCCAGTCGTGAAGTTATACTTCCAGGTCCTTATTTGTAATGATCATATGTGCTCATCACACATCGATGTACATTGTATGAAAATTTTGAATCACATTATTATTTTTCTCGAATAGAAATATCACCAATCATGCATACATAAAGCAGTCTAAAGCTAGGCTGAGTTGGGAGAATCTAAAACTTAAATTGGAGTGCAGAGGTATTCACATTTTAGCTCCTTGTTCCTTTTGCTTGCTGAGATCTTTTTTGAACTTTCACACCAATGACGAACCAGGAACTATTAATCCTAATCTGTTAGATAACAGCTAGACACACCCTGTGAACCTGCCATTTCCTGGGAGTACAAGACATAATAAATGACCATCCCTACGGTGGTGACACTCCACCCTGCACTATTTATTCACTTACAGGCTGAGCAAATAGTGTCATTTTCATAGTCTGCGAAGGCGTCAAGTGTCCTCTTCTACTGGTAAAATGGTGCTCCTTCCTCGTCGCTTTGGGCTCCTTGCAAGGGCTCTGCCGCTGCTCTTCTTGTTGTCTGAAGTCCAAGGTGAGTAAGGAGGCTCTTCGGTACCTGTCAGTGTTCTGGTTCTAAAATTAAATGTGCTGGGACATATCTTGCTCACAATAGTTATTTGTGTGCAGGAGAGATCTAACTGAGGCTCCCTCTGCCAAATGGGAAATGCATTCTGCCCATGCTAGGAACTTCCTGCTTCGCTATTGTTTCCAGTCCCCTTAAGAAATTCTGCCCTTAAACTCAGCTTCCTGACATGTGACCACTGTACTGTGTTTCTGGGCAAATTCCTCTCTCTCGCAGCCTTGCTCTAACGCCTTGATACATCGCCTTTGTTCCGGTCTCTGTGCTGATCCCTGCAATGCACTGCTCCAGGACATGTAAGGAAGCAGTGCGAAGCATACCCATTTGAACTGCCATTCATGGTTTAGGTACTGAGAGTCACACCTTTCTAATGCTGACTTTATTCAAGAAGATATATTGAATTGAAGTCTGACTGACTCTTTCATAGAAACAGAGCGAGTCAGAAGGGGTCTCCTGGGCCATCTAGTCTGACCCCTGGCTCCAGCCGGCTCCGCTCACGACATGCCCACCATGTGCATGTCCAGCCT